GGGGGCGCGGGCGGCGGGAGGGCTCGCGGGCGGCGGCCGCGTCCCCGCGGGAGAATCCCCTGGTAGTCGCTCTGTACGCACTCCGTTACCCTTTTTGGTTACTATGTTCAAAAGAGAGGCGAAAGCAAAACCCTATTTCTCACACCTATTCCATTCTGGTGTTTTTCCTACACTAACAGAATTTCAGTGGCCACACGCGCAAGGCAGGTTGTTGATCCTTTGCGGGTGAGGGTCCTTTCTGAGCGCACAGAAACGTGTGTAGAAATAAAAGTTTATGTATGTTAGGTATAGTCTCTCATATGGTCTGACTTACGATAGCTGTTTAAGGAAAAAATTGAATCAAAAGATTCCAAAACAGAATTACATGTTAATTGAATAACTATGTCAGTGATTTTTAAATTGCTTTTTTTAGCCTGTTTGCTCTGGTTGAATTTAGATGAAATGCAAACCCTAGGGAGGTGGATGGAGTAAGGTTGAGATGTTTTAATACTTAAGTCATGGAAGTTGTGTATTTTATGTGGTCTTTGACATGCCATGTCTCTTAGTTTTGTTTTCTTTCTTTTTCTTTTTCCCAGTACTGGAGGTTGAACACAGGTCCTTTGCACTGAGTTCATTTTTTTACTTTGAGTCAGGGTCTCCTTAAGCTGCCCAGGCTGGGCCCAAGCTTGTGATCCTCCTGCCTCAGCCTCCCAGAGTGCTGGAATTGCACACATGCATCACCGTGGCTGGCTGGCTAAGTTTGTGTGCTGTGATTTGTTACTGTGGCCTCTGGATGCCAACACACCAGGCCTGTGCCTCAGGGATGGAACTGCAGTTATGTTCTTCCTGACTTTCATGACTTTGTGAGCACCAGCCCTATTCCACAGGTGACAGAAATGATAGGGGACTTGCCCAAGGCCACTCAGCCAGAAGTAGAGCAGAAGCACAGGTCTTTATGAGAGAATATTTTTTCTAAATAAGAGCGACCACAGAAGCCTTACTCCTTATATATGTGTCGAGCCTCATACTTTGTTTTCTAGAGAGTTTTATTAAAAGATTTTTTGAAGGGGCCTGCCCCTTAGCTCAGTTCTTTAAGTGGCTACTTCAACAAAGCAGTCAGGCTCATGTTGCAGTGGTTTGATCCCCACAACTCAAGCCAGCCAAACCTGCCCTGAAGGCATTTGGAGAAAAAAAAAAAAAAGATTTTTTGAGAGCTTTTGTGAAATGCATTTTGGGAGTTTTTCACAAGGCTAGATATTGATGAGTAATGTATAAAATGAGGATGTAATGGAAATAACTTTTTTTTCAAAGCATAAAAAATGACAACTGCAGCCAGGCCAACCTTTGAACCTGCAAGAGGTGGAAGAGGAAAAGGAGAAGGTGATTTGAGCCAACTATCAAAACAATATTCAAGTAGGGACCTTCCGTCGCATACAAAGATAAAATATAGGTAATAATGACTTTCATTCTTTCCTACTCACAAAACAAGACAAACTGTTAAATGGCATGATTAGGATATGTGGTCATGATTGAGTTATATCACCTATTTTGATAGGAATAGAATGCAAGTGCCTTTGATTTTTACAGTGCTTCCATACGTTCTGCTTAACCAGAGATTTCCATATGTGAATAGAGCAGTAATTAATGTATTACTTTAGAGAGATTACTAGCATTATGAGCACTAGTCCCTATGAGATAAAAGTATTTTTGCAACAAGCTTATGAGTTCAATCATTTCCAGCCATATTATAGTAATATAAAAGATTCGGTTTGGGCTTCTTGAAATATTAATAACACAACAAATGTGTTCTCGTTCTTGTTTTAAGCTCTGGGCAAAGTTGCATTCATGAACTGTTTTCCATTGTTATAGCCATGTAATTTTTTTTCTTTCCTGGGGGTAACATTTTTTGCCCTGGTTTGTTTCTAATGTAGACAGACTACTCAGGATGCCCCTGAAGAGGTTCGTAATCGTGACTTTAGGAGAGAATTGGAAGAGAGAGAGAGAGCTGCTGCGAGAGAAAAAAATAGAGATCGTCCAACCCGAGGTACAGCGCGGTCCCAAATATTTATCTCATAAGTTTTCTTGCTGATAGTTGTCCCATGTGGCAGGTGTTCCCATTTTGGTAACACTGCCATTTGGTTTCATGTGGGTTTTGGTAAGAAGTGCAGCGGTTGTTTCGGTGAGCTGAAGGACTTTTGTTTTGCTTCAGAACACACAACCTCCTCCTCGGTGTCCAAGAAGCCTCGCTTAGACCAGATTCCTGCCGCCAACCTTGATGCAGATGACCCTTTGACAGACGTATGTTCTCCTTTTCTCTGTACACGGTGATTTACCGTGTGTTTCTAAAGTACTTCTTAATGCTTCTGATTTTTAGACGTGACCCATGTTTGTTTTTACATAGCATTACTCAAACACATCCAACCTCAGCCCTACACTTTACAGTTGATCTTAAAATAGAAAGTGTTATTTTTCATTGAGGACTTCAAGAACAGGTTTTGATCTCTAGAGAGCCAAATACGGAAGCAATCTATTAAAGGACATGCTGTCCCCAAAATCTCCTGTATGGAGGCCTCCAGGTTGTGCTGTCGTGTTTCCTCTAGAGGACAGCCGACAATTGGGCTCTGGGTTCTGTAGACAGCACCCCTGGCTTTATACCCATGGGGCTTCCCTCATTAGATTTGAAGCTCCCTTTGACGGGCAGTCACATAATGATACTGTGCTTAGGGAAGGAAAGAAGCCAAACAGGTGTTTAAGGGTTCACAATATCAATTTACATTAAAATTCATTGGGGCCTTATAGTTTGTAATTTGAGTTTTTAATGTAACTGAAAAGAACTAGGGTAATACCTAATTTTGCATATATGTCAACAATTCTAGAGCTAATTAATGGAGTTACTAGCACTCATTAAAAAAGGAATCTGAGTTTTAGTGAAATTTAATGATTGCTCATTTGAAATTATTTAGTACCCTTTTCATATTGTCTAGTTACCGCTGATTGCTAGATTGAAGTTGCTGTTAGCTACATAGAATTACTTTTAGTCTCAGGGTGATGTACTACATGTGTACACCGTTTCATCAGCTATTCACTTTCTGATTTTAGAATATGTTTACATTAGTAACAATTCAGAAGATTTTTGTGGGGCTTTATGTTTTGATTGATTGTTGATTTTAATCATGATATTTAGGTACATTTCTTCACTAGGAAAATTTATTTCTGTCCCGAAGATTTCCCTAAATATGGGGAAAAGTAAATATATATTTTCTCATTAATCTCATGGGTCATCATTATGCCTTTTTAGGAGGAAGATGAAGACTTTGAAGAGGAGAGTGATGATGATGATACTGCAGCTCTTCTTGCAGAATTGGAAAAAATTAAAAAAGAACGAGCTGAAGAGCAGGCCAGGAAGGTAATATCAAAGTGCTAAGTATTTACATTTCTCTGTCTTCACACATTTTTTAACTCAAGAAATATCTCCTTGTTGGTTTGGGGAGATAGCTCAGTAGAATGAGTGCTTGCCTGGCAAGTGCAAGGTCCTGAGTTCAATCCCCAGTGCCACAAAAAAAAAAAAAAAAAAAAAAAAAGAACTATCTCCTTGTAGTAGAAATGTTTTCATTGTCTGAATATGACAACACCCTATGGATCTATAAGTCTGATTATTTTTATGACAGACATCATAAGTCTCCTGGTTATATGGATAGTCTTCAGATCAGACGCGCTGAGTAATAGGCACTAGCATGATTGTATTCACTTTTCATTACACACTTAGTATTCATTAAGTGTCAGAAGCATCAAAGGTGATTAACATGTCACGATCTGCAAAGGTGTTTTTCCCTCTTGGCTCCCACCTAGGTATTTGTTGAGACAATCTGTGTGTAGATCTTATGTCGTCTTTGGCGTGTTATCTAACTACTTTGAGTACCTCCAGTCTCTCCCATTAACACAGTGAAAGTGAAGAAGATCTAAGTCATTATCTTTGGGGAAATAGGCAGATTAAGACATGAAATTGGGAGACAAGCACAAGTCTCAGCACTTAAAGTTTATAAACCAGTGCTACAGGAGTTTGAATGTTGTTCTGAAAGTTATGAGTAGCCATTAGATTTCAGCAAGAGATTGATAAAATTTCAGAAAGACTACTATGGCCAAAAAATGGAAAGTGGACTGGAAAACTGCGGTAGAGATTTTCAATCATCTTCACATGCAATTAAGAGAATCTTAACTTGCATGATAGCAGTTGGAATTGAGAGAAATGAACAAGTGCAAATAGAGCAATCAAGGAGGTAGAATTGACTACAGTGATGGTTTGGTTGTAGCAGCAAAAAAGTAGGTAACTGGTTTTGTATACAAATACAGGCAAACTGGAATAGACCTGTTTAAGCAGAAAGAAATGATGTGTTCTGTTTTGAACATGTTGAATTTGACACATCATAATGATACAGGGAGAAACACTGATCTCAGGTGGGTGACCTCCAAACAATATAGGGAACCTCCAAATGACATACAGAAAAATGATCTCCCAACCTGACCCACATGAGTTCGTGTTCTCTAAAACCAAAGAATGAATTTTAGGAACAAATGGAGGTTATGAGCAGAATATATTTATTGAGAGAAAGAAAGCTCCTGTCTGAGGGATGGACAGGAGGGGGGCCCAAGCAAGTCCCCTGGGAAGCTGTCTCTTCCATGGACTTTTATAGGGTAAAACCATGCGGTGAGGCGGGTCTAAGGTGGTAGAGAACATAGGAACTTGCTTAAGTGGATGTGGGGTGACAAAACTATGGTTACCCAATGAGATTACAAGCACCACTGCTCAGGTAAGATTAAGTCCAGGACCTAATGGGGAAGCGAGTCACGTAGCAAGCAGTTAGGAATGTAGGACAGGACTTTATCAGGTAGCCGTCCAGTAGTAGTCAGATTAACAATTCTTTGATTTCCCTCATGGTGATGATCATTCTCGGATGCCAGTCTTTAGGGAGGTGGGTATTTGTTTGATCTTTGGTCTTTATGTCTGGCCCACGGCGGGAGCATCCATCCCTCCCGTAGTTGCAAAATATGGGAACTTCTATAGTATTTCCTTCAAGGGCCTGGCCCTGTCTGACTGCCTGTAATATTTCTATCTAACTCAGCTGCCTGCAACAGTAAGACATCCCAAGTAAAGATACCTGCTCCTATTTTGAGCGAGAGTAGCACAGCTTTTTTGTGGAGTTTGGTGTAAGATTTCATTTGAGCCAAAAATTGTTCCATTCTTAAGAAAAAAGCTAGAGAAAGGCTGTGGAGAAACACAATGACAGATGTTAAGAACCTAAGGAAGGGGCTGGAGAGATGGCTCAGTGGTCTAAAGCACCTACTTAGAACAAGCTTAGCAAAAGCATCAGGGACCGCGGTTCAATCCCCCAGCA